ATTGCTGGTGCTCCGGCTGCCCTTGTGGTCCGGGTAGCCCGACTTGCATCCCCGCGCGAAGCAGTGTCCGTCTTTCTCCTCGCATTCATGACCGAGACGACTACGGAACGGTGAAGACTCCCCACCATTACACCACAAAGAAAAGTGCTACGGTGCTATGCTTGGAAGAAGTGTACCGCCTCAGCCTGGTCTTCTTCGCTCTCCGCACTTCTGCCACCTGCCACCAATATGGGGCCCGGAGCTCCAGCGCCACTCGCGGCCATCTGCGTCGACCGTCTTCACACGGCCCATTGTAAGTGGGTACCGCTCTTGCCAGTACAACCTCTAGAACACTGTAAAAAGGCTTCGCGATGTAAAGTACGGATCGCCGGGACACCGCTAAGCACGACGATCGAGAATGGTGTTGCAGGAGGTTATGCGTGTTCTATAATAATTGGGGTTGTGTGGATATTTTTACAGCGTGTAGTTGGTCAGCCATTTCAAAGTTGCGGCGAGTCACTCGCTTAAGGCCCGTTCACACGATGCATTTTTCTCGAGCATCTAGTGTCGCGAAACGTAGTTTCACGAAATGGTTGCACCGTCTGAACAAATCCGAGAAGGACGCGCGCATCTAAAAAAATGTTGCGCGCACACCTCGCTCCTGGAGCGAGCTTTTGCTGAAACTTTGCCGAGTCCTGTCAATCACTCTGAGGGCGCCGCCAATGGCCGCTTAGAAACGCTCTCACGTGGCCTTTGAGGGGGGAGCGAGCTGTTTGAGAAGACCACTTCACTGCCGGTGTTGTAGCCGAGACAAATCCGGAAAATACCGAAACCAGGAACGGTGGATACTGCCGGCGCTTCCGCAAGCACGTCAAGCACTACTGAAGGAAAAGTGAGTAGCATATCGGAAAAAAATCCAGCGATGGACGAAGACGTAATTGGTGATGATGATAATTCGCGTGTATTTTTAATCATAATTAAGAAATAAAACCTTGAGACAAGGAAACAAAAAGGGACGTACACAGCACCGTCTCAAAACCAGCACAGCGTACAGCTCTCATTTACTTCCACAACAGTCTTCTTCTTTGCCAACCTTCATCCAAATTATAGATATTCAACAGTAAATAAAGTAAATGGCAGTAAATGACAATTCAACAACTAGTAAACGACAATTTAAGAGTAAATTAAGTAAATGGAAGTAAATGACAGCTGTATGCTGTGCTGGTTTTAAGACGATGGTGTGTATGTCCCTTTTTGTTTCCTTGTCTTAAGGTTTTATTTCTTAATTATGATTGTTCACCAGCTCGCCTGCGTTTTGACTCTTAGAATGTGGCGGGAGATGGAGAACGAACACGACGCTGAATAACTAATGGTGATGATGATGATGCTGGCTTTCAACTGAAGCGCCACTTTATGGTCAACACCCAAACTATTTTCGCGAGTCTAAACGTCATCGTTGTTGCATGTGAAGCGGTACGTGTGAACGAGCACATTTCGCGAAACTTGAGTGTCGCGAAACTGATGCGCGCCTAAAAGATGCATCGTGTGAACAGACCTTTAGATGAGCAATTTAGCCAGTGCAGTACAACCGCTAGCCTGGGGTCTTTAAAGTGCACCACGTAGAAGCGATACACGACCGCACGCCGGTATGATGCTCATCCAGATCGAAACGGGCAGGGGCGGGGATTGAATAGTGATCTCTACTAGTAGAGATCAGGGATTGAGCACTGATCTCTACAGCGCAGCGCGAGCTTTCGCTCCACGTGGTCCAAGCTGGTGGGCGCTAGCACACTCGCCCACCGATTCCCCTATGCGCGTTTTAACCACGTTTTAACTCAGCAAGGCGCTGTCTCAGCTATGTGAATTTTGCGCGCTCAAAAGCACTTTGACTTCGTCTCTTTTTTTTTTTTTTTTTTGGCGGCCGTCAAGGGCGCTGAGGGGCGGGATTTGGTTAGGATTCGGCACTTTGTGGAGAAGTGACATACATACATAGTGAAAAGTATATAGGAGGTTCTGGTACTACGTACGAGCTCCAAGTGGACCAACAGAAGAGGATGAAAACTCGGCCTTTGGTTGTAGTGGAACGCTAGAGTCACACTGATCCTAGGTCTGTCCCCTCCTTGGCTATGCGACAACAACCCAAGGACAGCAACGACCACTGTGGAACGCACAACTAAAAAGAACGCCGAGTGACAGTCGGGCACCTGGCCGAGCCCTTCGCCGTCATGACCAGTGACACCGCTGTTCGGTCGGAAGAGCTTGCGATCAGCGAGGACACGGCGCTGCTCGCCAGGAGCGGTTACGTCCTCGGAGACGAGCTGGGCTCCGGATCGCACTCCAGAGTCGCGTAAGGATTCTCTCTTTCGCGATTCCCTTGCTCGCTATTCCCTTCCTTCTCGATTGCTATTTTGCAGGGTGAAGTACTTACGATGTCGTCAGAGCTACCTTGAAGGGACCGTCATAAGGTGGTTGCAACGGTTTTCGGACCGCGTCATATGTACGAGAACGTGCGAACTGGTATGGAGGTCTGGGCTTAAACACTTTAGCGGTGGCTTGCTTGCGGTCTACCGACGGTCTGAGTAGTTGCTCTGTGGTACGAAGGCGAGATGCGTAATCCATAATGTCTGGTACGCGGCGTCATTCCGCGTGCTGGCTGATCGACTTTACATGCGGTACTTTCTCCGAGCGCAGCATGACCATGTTATTTGCATACATATGTGTTTGCGATAAAAAATCGAAATTTCATAATAAAATGACTTCTGGTCAACAATATATCTTTTCTGCATTCCTATCGGGCATGACCCCGAGTTGGACACATTTTGTTTCACTCGTTTGTTTGTTTTGTGTAGCGCAAGGAATGCACGAGCGGCTCCAGTCTAAGCTAGAGTTAAAAACCGGGTTGAACCGGTTCAGGCTTGGTGGAACCGCTAACCGAACCGTTATTTCGAATCAGTGTTGCACAAAATACTCGATAAAAGTATTTAAGTTAAGTTACTATATACCTGCTTCATGAAGTATTTAAAATACTACTTAAGTTACTTTTACTGTAAAGTATCTCAAGTAGAGTACAAATACTTTGAAATATAATTAAATTCCTTTTGAAAATACTTTTGCATTGCGTAATTTGAATCGACGTCAGTGACAACAACAATTATACAGCTGCGCAAATCTGGTTTACCAGAATGGTTTATCTGCGCGAACAACAGAAAACGGCAAAAAAGAGAGGAAAAAAACAAACATCGCAGGGCTATTTTATGCAGTTCAACTATAAGGAGCAGAATATTGTCGCGAATGACAAATGATGAGGCGGCGAATAACTGGAGAAACTAAACGTTTAATGGGACGAACTTGCGCCCAAAACAAAATAGGGAAAGGCTAGCGTCGCAGGCGTCGATGTCGGCGAGAGAGCAGGACCAAGCGCTGGGACGAAACTAACTCCAAAACAAAACTTAAAAAAAAAAAAAAAATGGCTTGCTTTTGTATGTTTTTACAGCCTTGATGGTAGTACGCCTTAACACGTGACCGGTAGCTTAGCTGAAGATGAGAAATTTAGCCAGTGCAGTACAACCGCTAACCTGGGGTTTTTAACGTAAATCACGCAGTAGTAATTAAACGAACGCCTGCCGGTACGAAACTCACCTAGATCGAAACGGGCGAAAGCGGTGGTGATCGATCGAACCAAGGAGGTTCCCAGCGCAATCTTTCGCTACCGCCACGCAGAGCACCTTTTGCACCCGCGTGGGTTTCTGGATCATTTGGGGTAAAAAATTCCGCGCGTAGAACATTCGTAACTCGATCAGACGACAAGGTTCTTGAATTTACGAGAATGTCAAGTTGAAAGAATGAATTAAAGAGGAGTCCGCTCCCTGGAATCGAACCCGGAGGCTCCGCGCGAGAGCTAAGCGCGGTAACCATTCGGCCTCGCGCTTGCTCGGCAAAGCGCGTGGCAATATTACGGATACATCTTAGAAAACATTTCTGGGACAGAAATAAAGAGGTCGCTTTAGCTAAAGTGACATCGCTGAATATCACGTCCTGCGGCGCACCTTATAGATGCATCGTTTACCTACAATCCACGTTCACTATAAACGAACTTGGGGTACGGAGGTGAGTGAACGGATAACGAAGAGAACCGACATAATAGCCATGGCAGTGGTCGTACCTTCTTCAAGTAGGTTGCGTTCAGAAAGGCACTCAGCGTTGGATGGCGCTTTGTTGGGAATTTGAGAGGTCATCCAGCTTTTAGTTCGTTTCCTGTCCTGTTCTCTGCTTATCAATGTTCGCTTACAGACAGTGTTCGCGAGAGCAATAAGTGACGGACTGAAGACAAAAAAAAAATAAACAAAAGAAAGCCTAGACATTTTGCTTTAGAAAAATCAAATATGCAAGCAAAACAAAAAAAAAATGTTGTTTTCTCTCTTCATGACAACCATGCAAGTCTGCATTGTTTTCGTAGGTCGTTTCTCGGTCTGCGCTGCGCCTTATTGTGGCAATCCCAACTTCCCTAAAACCAGCCTTTTTGTTTGAGGATTTTTCGGAGTAAACTCTAGGAAACAAAAGGCGCCTTTGGGAACGCAAAGGAAAAACCTTCATTGGACGAAGTTTTGGCTGAAATAGGAGTCACAATTGGCAAAAAAAAAAGCGATGTTTTTTCCCCGAGCTCAACCAAAGTCACGGTAGCTAATCGGATCTAGCAACGGGATTTGGTTGCTCGAAAGAATGTTCACGTTTGCTCGTGCTAAGCCCACGCCACTTCACACCGAAAAACTCGCAAAATGGCGGAATGTCAAAAATGTATTTGAGATAATGAGTACAAGATACTCAGAAGTGTAATTAAGATAGAGCATTAAATACTCTCGATCAAAAGTATTTGCAAGATACCAAGATACTTCAAAAAGTATTTAAAATACAATACCTTGAGTAGAGAATTTGAGATAGGCACAAGTCTGTTTCGAATGCACGTTGAACCGGGAGCCAACCGAAAAAAAAAAATGCAAAGCTAGCAAACCCGAACAGAAATAATGACCGGTTCGTCACCCCGCAATATATACCACCTATAACGCTGGATGCGAAGGTTTCAGGGCTTAGGCCAGTGCATCGCCTTTACCAAGAGTAGCAAATTCTCTGGTGCGCGCGTGCAGCGTGGTGACGAGGGACGGGCTGGCGTACGCCTGCAAGGTGGTGTACACCCGGCGGACGTCTCGCAACTTCCGCGTCAAGTTCCTCCCCCGCCAGCTGGGCATCCTGAGCCGCCTCCGGCACTCGCACATCGTCCGTGTCCTGGAGATCCTGCACCGACCAAGCCGGGTCTTCATCGTGATGGAGCTGGTCCTCGGCGGGAACCTGTTCACCCTCGTCTCGGTGAGTCCGTCTTCCGGTCTTTTTCTTTTTTAAATGCAAGAGCATTCCTTTCTTCTTTTAGCAACCGCCCCCCTCTCCCGAACGAACACACACACGCACACAACCACACGCACACGCACACACACACACAAATAATCGTTATCTGTTGCGCAAAACACAGGTGGATGCACGGGAAAGGCAAGTCTGAGTGTATAGTAAGTTGCCAAGAAAGAACACAGCTCTCAGTGGCTACAATCCCTGACAGAGTGAGAACGGCACGGCGGGTCTATTGAACGCCCGGCCTTCAGCATGCGTTCCATGCCCTTCACCGTGCTATGGCTGCACGTGCGCGCGCGTGCTCGAGGTCCAGGCAACGCAGAAGCGTCGTCGAAGCTCCTACCTGCCGTTCTCGCTCTGTCATAGGCTAGAGTGTCCCGAAGGCATCTTAGAAAAGTATACGTAGGATCTTCCTCGAGTGCATGCGGTGCATCCTTGCAGGCCGAAGGTCGGCTTCCCGAAAGCCGCGCCCACGAGCTGTTCGTGCAACTGGCCTGCGCCGTGGCCTACCTGCACCGGCACGAGATCGCCCACCGAGACATCAAGTGCGAGAACGTGCTCCTCTCGCGCGACGGCATCGTCAAGCTGGCGGACTTCGGCTTCAGCCGCTACTGCGGTGAGCCCCGGGAAGCGGCGCGGAGTCTGCACGTTGGCAGTGGGCGAATCAAGGCGATGGAGCTAAGCGCACCAAGACTGCACACGTGCATACCTTGATCCGACACTCTGTTTGGCTGGTCAGTGCCGTAGCTTTTGCCGTTTGCGAACTTGTCCACGGCACCTTTCTCCCATTCGCTGCTCCGACGTACGTCACGCTGCTGAGATGGCATAGCGGTAGGAATCGAGCGCATATGCTATAGAGGTCGGGCATCCGAAAGGGACGTCGTGCCGTTTTCATTCTATCATTGACTACTGACGAAACCTCGCGTCCGCGTCGCCACGCGCGCATTCTTGAAGCGTTGGCAGAGGCTCGGAACGAGCGCACAATCCGCAAGCGCGGCAATACCAAGATGGCGTACGCTCAACTTGTCTTATGTAAGTGGACGAAGATCAACTTCAGGACCGTCGTCGGAAGAATCACGGAACGAGAGGTGCTTCTTGGTGAATGGAGTCACGGAGAGCTTGACAAACACAGGCCGTGGTCAGTTTCAATCACGCTGTTACCGCTCCACAGCCAATCAGATCGCGGCATTAGTCGACAAGAACGCAAAAAAAAAAAACAAAAAAAAAAACAATAACGAAGCCAAAAAAAAAAAAAAAAACGAAGCAAAAACAAAGGTCCGAATGTTCTACGCGTCGAATATTCTACGCCGATTATTCCAGGAGCTCACGCAGGTACATAAGGGGCTCCGCGTGGCAAGCCGGAGTCAGTTTCGCCCCAGCGTTCGACTCTGCTGTCACGCCGACTTCGACGCCCGCGACGCTCTGCTTTCTTCTGTTCCCTTTTTATTTTTGGGCACAAGTTCGCCCCATTAAACGTTTTGTTTCTTCAGTTATTATCGCCTCACCAATAGTCATTCGTGACAATATATATATATATATATATATATATCGAGAGAGAGAGAGAGAGAGAGAGAGCACATGGATCAAACCGAAATTAATGCGCCAACGCGGATTCACTAACGACATCAGGGCGGCTCGTGCAATCCTTCGATTGCTCGTCATCGGCAGGCAACAGACTATACCCGTTTTCACCTCAAGAACCGTAGTAAAAAAAGTCCCGCTCCTCGCGGAGCATTACTAATTTTTTATTTTATGGGGAGAATTAATACATATGCAGGTGCATTTTAGATTAGATATGTGCTATCTAATCAAGACGTATACGTTTCAAACGCCAAAAGCATCGCTTCTTCCTCCGACAACCAAATCTTGTAAGAACTACTTCGCCAGGCGTATGAACATTGCGCAAAACGTCCTTTTTTCTTGAGGTGAAAATGAGTATAGTGACAACAAAGCAGTGGTCCAAATGTTGTCATTGAATACCCTTCTTAAATACAATTGCTTCGACATTTTTTTTTTTGCTCGCGTTTTATATATTATTACACGACCCTAACGTCACGCCTATAGCAAACAGCTGCACCTTGTCGCTGCCAAGTCTGTGTAGGTGTGAGCAAGCACGTGCAATTTCATAGCATGCTAAGTAGGTTTACCTTCTTCGCGCGCGCGCTGCAAGCCTGCTTGCGAGCGTGAAATTCTAGAAAAAAGGGTATCTATAGTCCTCGTTAAAGGGAGGATCGGTCTTGTAACCTATGCTCTTCCATAAAGGGAGAAACTTTCGTCCCTAAAGCAGGAGAGCAAAGTTTCTCTGTCGCCTGCATCTCATCATGGCGGACCCGAATCGAGCAAATCGAGCTCAATAAGGCTTAACGAGGACGCTACGTCTTTTGTACGGGACGAGAGGAGCAGCAAATGAAAGTGTAACACGAGCGTTCCACGAATAGCTTTCCACGAGCTTTCCACGAGCTTTCCCCGCAGGTACAGAAACTTGCGTTTCGAAAGCAGTTACTCAGTCTTCTCGTCGTCGGCACTGCGCTGTTGAACGGAGGCAACTGATACCCAGCTACTCCGCGCACTTCACGTCTTACCTTTGCTATTCCTCGAGTCACAATTCCTTCATCAGCCGCACATCACGGAGGAATGGAAAACCAATCCGCGAAACTAAAAGCCGCTCTCAAAAGAAGAAACTCGAAGCCGCTGTTGCACGGTAACCAGAAATTATCGCGTAGCGAGAAAAAAGGTTAAATCGCTTCGATTTTATTAAGCATTTTTCCTTAATGCTAAAATTCCAAACGGTAAATATATGTAGTTTACGTCATATTTTCGTACTGTTCAGTCATTTCCCCAGAGCGCAATCGCTCTCGGGGAGGAGACAACCGACAATCACATTGGCGAGTGTGCGATAGGAGCTACGGTTCGGACTAGTGTTCCAATATGACTCAATTACTCAATTTCAAAGTGAGAGTTAAAAATAAAGGAAATAAACTGTTTCTCTCGACCTGCACCACCTGACGATATAACAGGTCTAATCCAGCTTAAAATTTAAAAAAAAATGAGGGCCGTAATTGGGCAAAAGTTACTTTAGTTCTTAAAGCCAATGAAAAAGAGAAACAGGGAGGCAGCTCAACCTTGGCATTGGAACGAACTTGGAAAAACTATGCGGACATTTATAATTGTTCGTGTTTCTTTTTTTTTTTCCTTTTGGTATTAAGTTAATAATTGTTGTTCCGCTTGGTCTTGCCTTTTCTCTTTGATGTTCTTGACGACGAGGAAGTTGTTCTTGTTTAGATTTTTTGTTCCAGAATATATAAGAAAATTAATTGGAAACAATTTAAAAACCTTATGCTCTTTTAATTATTTATTTAATTTATTATGCATATTTGTGTTTCTTTGTATTCTCATGTATGTTTTCATGTCATTTATTATTTGCCTTTCTTCTTATTTTTATGCTTGCTTCTTTCCTTTTTTTTTGGTGGGGGGGGGGGGGGGGGGGGCAGAGATCATTTTATTCCTTCGTTGTTTATAATTTTTTCATTGATTATTAGTATTATTATTCTTTTTTACAACAAGAGATTATACTTTTATAGCTATAAATATCCTGGTATTTACATATTTACACTCTCCCCTGAAGGAGAGGGATCACACTTATAAAGCTTCCTGTTTTCGTCCTATATTTGTATCATAAGTTTCTATAATTTTTTTTTTTTTTGAGATGGGAAGGTATGAAATTGACATTAAATACTTAGTCGTTTTAATCAACATTACTTTTCTTTCCGTACATTTTTCGTTGTTGGTGATTTGTCTTGAGGTGCTGTAAAAAGAGTTCAACCTCTTTCTTTTTATTTCACTGTCTGGTCTTTGTTGTTCATTCCTGAACACTGTTGATGTGAGAGTACATGACTTTTCGCTCCCGTTTTGTTGTTGATACTCTCATTATTTTTGGTGAGTAGCCCAGAACCTGGAACTGGTCTTAGGTTCGCCTAACCTGTTGTTTGGGGTCTTCTCTATTGGCGGCCGTTTGCCGTGGGTGACTATCCGCGCGTCGATCGATTGCACCTAATCCCTCAAGTGGTCTTGAACTTTTTAATGTAAAGCGGAAGACAACCTGCGACACCCCGCCCCCTCCGATCACGGCCCGACCAGCGCCATCAATACCCAACAGCTCATCTTGTTGTTGCACCACTGATATGCGAACACAGGGTCACATCGGTGATAATTCCAATTTTCCGTTCACAATGCACAACATTGCCGTCGAAATGTTGCTGCTATGTTGCTGACACGCAGAAATACAGAACCACGTTGACTGCCGGCTGGCACCCGGCATCGGAATACAGAACCGAACTCAGCACGAAAGGCACCCAGGCACCCGGCAGCAAAACCTGCCTGTCTTGGACTGAAATGAGTGATAGGGCGCAGGCGAGCTGGTTTACGTTCATGATTTAAGAACACCCTCTTGTTTCTCCAGTCTCTGTCTTTAGCGCAGTTTCCGTGATTTCCATAACGTCGTCAACGTCGACACATCCACTGTGGACACATCGTTCCGCGAGGCCCGCATGGTTCCGCGTGGGTTCCGCAATACGGAGATGGGGGCGTATTTTCGGCACCGATTTGAAGTTCAGGGGGCGCGGCCACTGACGTTACGGACTTCCAGATTCTATTCGGTGTTTTTTTATGCAAACACGTTTTATTTTGGATGCCGCCGACTGCATTTTGAAACGTCGGTCGGTCGGCGAGTGTGTGCGCGTGGTCGGGTGCTCGGCGGCTCGGCGGTGTACTCGCTGGTGTGTGTCGACGTGCCGCCTGTGCTCGTCGCGTATCCAGAAACAGTGTTTTCCAATTTCGTTCACCCGGTGCCGTCGGTCACTCCTGTTGCAAAGAAAGATTCGTAGTGACTACAGTACCGTCCGAAGGCACTTTTGCAGAGCGTTCAAGTGCCGTCCGACGGTACTCCACCGTCGGTATACTCCGCGCTAGGTGCCGTCCGAAAGTCTCGTATAAAACGGATTGTCAAAACTTGATTTCCGAAACTTTTTGACAGCACGTTTTTCTTTGAATTACCCTTTTTAATGTCATAAAAAAGCGCTCTATCGCGATTTAGTTGTGAGTGTTTTCCCATGCCCTCGTATCGAGGTGTGTCCCAACGTGGCCACGATGCGCTTAGACGTGTAAAAAGGATGTGTGTTCCCGCGGCTGTTAAGGGGGATTCAACCGCTATTTATTTGTACGCTTTTCCTCATAGATGGCGCAGAAATTTTCCGGAACAAACGAGTTGCATGTTCGCAGATGCGCATGCAGGTCGGGCGCTCGAGGTGGGCTCGAGACACGGACATGTTCGCCGCCGATCTCGAGCTAGATCTTCTTCGCCCTGCTACACTGTAGCCCTGCGTCCGCCGTTGCCGGAAGCGGCCAACGGGCGGCGCGAGATACGAGCCAGCATAGACGTAGATTATAGTGGCTTACATAATGCAAAATAAGCTCTGATTTCCGACTGGATTCGAAGTTCCGACCACGTTTCAAATTATCGAAAGTACAGGGTGCGGCGGTGCGGCCTTTTGAACCAGCACATTTAACACCATAGGCAATTTGCAAAAAAAAAAAAAAAAAATATTTCGGAGCTTAATTTAAAGCTAGAAAAAAAAGA